ACACTTTAATAAAAAAAAAAAAAAAACAGCAGTGTAACTATTTGAGGAGATAAATATGTTTAACCTCATTTAAACATTATACAACATATGTATGTATTGAAATATTACTCAGCATCCTATTCATATATATGATTTCTACATTTTTACATATCAGTTAAAAAGAAATTAAAAACAAAGAACTAGTAAGTGAACAAGGAAAACATAACATATATACACTGAGCCAAAAGTCTAAGCTATAACCCAAAAGCTAGTCTATTTTCAAGGATAAAAAAGCATGAACAAATACAAAGGAATACAGAAAATGATTTAAACTTCTGGTTTTTCAAATAATCAATCAGATATAATTGGTGACTTCATTAAAGACTCCCACTAGAATGTCTGATCATTTAAAATTCTGATCATGTTTTTCAGGTCTCCCTTTGGGTAGATAAATCACAAACCCAAAAGTACCTAAGAATTCTCCCACTACAAGACTCAGGATGAGAGACCAGACATACTTTTAAAATTCAATAAAGAAGTCACACCTTGAAATCATATGTGGCATCTGGGTTTTCATCACAGGCAATGACTTCCGGTGCCATCCAGTAGGGCGTCCCAATGAAAGTGTTCCTCCTGCCCACCGTGCGGTCAAGTTGGGCACTGACTCCAAAGTCCACTGACAAAGAGAACATGGTTGACTCAAGCGTACAATGGATGACTAAAACAAAGTGAGCTTTTAAATGTTAAATTATACACAACATAAAATTTATTTATTTTTTTCACAGCATAAAATTTATCATTTTAACCATGTTTCAACATACCAGTCTGTGGTATTAAGTAGGTTGACACTATGTGACCATCATCACTATCCATCCCCAGAAATTCTTCATCTTCACCAATTCCACACTTACTAATCAATGACTACTCCTTCTCCCTTCCCCCAACTCCTGGCAATATCATCCTACTTTCTTTATCTATAAATCTGACTACTCAAGTAAGTGAGATCATTCAGTATTTGTCTTTTGGTTTGGCTTATTTCATTTAGTACAATGTCCCCAAAGTTCACTGATATGGTAGCATCCATCAGAATTTCTTCCTCCTCCTCCTTCTCCTTCCCCGCCACTTCCTCTCGTTCCCCTCCGTCCTCCCCCTCCTTCTTGGAGTGGTACTAGGAATTGACCACAGGGCTTTTGTATTAAACTACAAGGTCTGTCTCATTTTGAAAAATTTTATTTTAAAATGGATTCTCTCTAGGTTTGAATTTGCAATTCTCCTGCCTCAGCCTTTCAGTATGCTGGATTTGCAGGATGGCAATACCTTCTGGCTTCCTTCCTTTTTGATGTTGAATAATCTTTCACTGAATACACATATCTCATTTTGTTGATCAGTTGACCTGTTGGGAATTTGGATTGCATCTACCTTTTCAATAATGTGAATATGTATTAATTTAATTGAATGTATACTTGAATGCACCAATGAGAAAGGCACAAAGTGTTATAATTGGTTACACCAAGACTCCATGAGAACCAATGAAAGGTTTTCAATAAAAGGCAAGCTCGTTTGCCAGAATGATAATACAAAAAAAAAGCGAGTAAGAGCTGAGGGTAGGAGTCATTCTGTGGAAGTCCCATTTCTACCACTTGGTAATGTTGCGATCTAGGGTTAGCAGATAAACAACCTTTTTCAGCTTGAGTTTGCTAATCCATCAAATGAAGATGCTAACATCTACATAGAGTTGTACTTATGTTTACACGAGATAGTTTAAGTGTCTTGAAAGGGAAATGGCAAATACAATACATTCTCAATAATAACTGTTAGTGTGATGAATCTTAGTCTACATAACTGCTTAGGCTACATAACATATTTTTTTAAAGAAAACATTCATGAAATGAAAGTTTGGCTCCAAGTGCTAACAAAAATAGGAAATTATTTTAACAAAAAAGAAAGCAGATGTTTCAGTATCTTTCAAAACAAATAATCACAGGAACAGTGGTCCTTTTCTGGATAACAATTTGTGCATGTCACAGTGTATTTGTCAGCTCATGCTCAAGCAAGCAAATATATGGAGGCATTTTCTGTTTTACCTGGGCAATCCTACTTTTGTGGTATGGGCATGAAAGGATATGCCAAAGAAAAGGATTCCCCACTGCTTACTCTGGCATGGGCATGAAAGGATATGCCAAAGAAAAGGATTCCCCACTGCTTACTCTGGCAGACAGAAGTGGGACAGAATCACTATTGACCTAGACTATTGAGCATCCATTTTGTTCAATTACCTTAGGTAATAAAATCAAGGTAAATATACGTTAAATATATGGGAATATAAGAGGAATCGATTATCCTAAATAAGTCTAACTATGGATATTTTCATTGAAAAAATGTAGGTCACCAGTGTTCTGTCATAGGAGCAAAAATATAAACCAACAGATGCAGGAGATAATTTCAAGGTCTCTCGTTCTAATATTTACTAAACATTTTTCAACTACACATTGATTAAGCAGGTTGCTTTGTTCATCACCATGCAGGATCCATTCCTCAACATGCTTTTAGAAAAATGTAAATGGACAAAAACATTTTCCTTTCCATTTTTATGTCAACGCCCTCTGAACCCAGTGACAAATGTATTCTAATTTGAAAAAGAAAGACAAAAAAGAGGTATTGCAAAAACCCTGTCCATTCCAGCAGTTCCTAGGCTTTCTAGATTCTGTTCTTACCTAGTTTAACTTCTGCATTTTCAGTCAACAAGACATTTTGCCCCTTAATATCCCGATGAATCACTTTGTGCTGGTGCAGGTGACTCAGCCCCTGGAGTGATGGAGAAGAGAAAGAGTTAACAAGAACATAAAACAAGAAACAAATAATCTATTTTGAATGCTAATTATCTCTCAAAATTAAATTCACCTAGAGATTACTCTCAGAATTATATTCATGTCCTTCATATGCTCATAGTACTATTTGAAACCAAAGGAGAATGTCAGTGTAAACTAAAATATACATGCAGTCCTTGTCATGCATGGTGCTGTGTTAAATAAAAGTCTTGCATACCAGATCTGATACCAGGCACCACCAAACCACATGCAATACAGCTTGCTTCCCACATGCATAATTTGCAGTTCACACAGTACTGTGAGAAGTGAGGACTGCTAGTTTACAGCAGACACATCAGCTGTCTCTGCGTAGAAAACTAATCTGATTTAGCCAGGCCCTAACATTAAGGCATGTTTTTTGCCTACCCAAGCTACTGAAGTATTAGTCTATGTTTTCTGGTAAGAACTTTAATTTTTATGTAGTTCACATTTATATTTATTGGAATGAATTTTTATATGGTATGAAGCAGATACCAATGTCTTTATGTTCACGCCTTTATTAGTGGATTGGCCAAGGTCTGTTTACTGATAAGTGCATCCTTTTCCCATCCAGAGCAGCACTGACCTTGCCATATACCTGGTGTCCATTTGACATGGGTCTGTTCAAGGCCCCCAGCTTCTGTACCCTTGGCTGCTGTCTCAATTTATGTGAAGACTATTCTGTCTCAATTGTTTAGCAGTTATATAATAAATGCTGCTAACTGTGAGCTTAAATACTCTACTTTTGCTCTTTTAAGATTGCTGTGGTTATTCTAGGCCTTTTATATTTTCAACTGAATTTCTAAAATTCAAGTTATCCCTGTCCACAAATACAGCTACCAGGGATTTTGATTAGGAGCTCGAAGAAACTATACATCAAACTTAGAGAAATGACATATTACAATATTGTGTAAACCATCTCAGGAAATGGCCTTCTTTTTATTATAACCTTCTTTAATTTCTCTTAGAAGTATTTTGTAGTTTTTAGGACAAAGTCATTCACTCATGTCTAAATTTATTCCTAAATATGTGACTTTTTGTGCTACCGTCAACTGCCATCTTTTTAAAATTTCATGTTCAATTTGTCTTTTGCTTAATCTGGTTTACATTTAATGGTGAGACATTATCTTTCTGCATTCTCTTCTTTTTTCTTTAACTTTCTTTCTTCCATCCATGGCATAGAATTGATCTCTGAAAGTCCTATTGTCATCATGCAGAGCTAGCAAGAAAGCTTTGTAGACATAGTATAGCCTCCATATTATCAGCAAGAAAAAATTATACTAGTATGAATGAAATAAAATATGCCCAATTACCTTTTTCTCTCTGAACTAAACTCAGTAAATATGATACTATTATCTCAATTGTCTGATCATGAGATTTGTGGACAAAACTGGGCAAATGGGCAAATGTATCCAGCTAGTCCAATCGATTTAAGTAAGCCTAAGAGGCAGTTTTTTCAAAGATAAAATCAATTAAACTGTCTTGTATGTACAGAAATGGCAGACATGACACACTTCTTAAATACTTCACATGACGGGAAGACATTACAAGTTTAGTTATGAAGTTAAGATACCTTAAATGACCAGTCAAAATACCTTTTGAAATAACCCATTTTCTAAATTGGAGACTATCTTTTTGCCCTCAAATTAGACTTCTATTTGGGGACACCATTGATAATGAATGCTTTGCTAAGCGAAAATCAATCAGTGTCGACCTTCTAAATGATGTACACAAGGCCTGTCAAGAAAGGCTCTCACTTCCATCAGGAGAGACTTGCACACCAAATCACCACCACCATCATTGTTAGAATAACCCTTTAAAGAGATCTCTGCTGCACTTATGAATTGCACTCAGAGGTTAGAGCAAAGCACAACACTTTACCAAGACTTCTTGTGGTGCTTAAGGCTGTTGGGAGATAGGCAAGTCCCTACTCATCACTTACCCGTAAGATCTCTCTGCAGATGTATGCAATCCACTCTTCTTTCAATGTGTTGCCTTTTGTGTTCTTGATCAGGTCAGTGACAGAGCCAGCGCCACAAAACTCCATCACCAACTGGCAAGGAAATGAACAAGCCATTACTATAGTTACATTTTACAGTATCCACCAGGCTGGATTAAGAAAATGTTAAGTCATTCTAGTTGGTTGTTTTGAAATGATATTCTTGCAAAGAAATGCTGATCATAAAACAACATGTAAAACAAAACTTTTGTCCTTCTTGCCAAAATGACAGAAAGCAGAGAGTTTTATTAAAAATATTTTCAAAAGGGCCAGAGATTTAGCTCAGCGGTGCTGCAGCCTGTCTTGCAAGAGCAAGGTCCTGAGTTCAATCCTGGTACCATAAATAAATAAATAATAAATAAAATTAGATTAGAAAATTTTTTTTCAACTTGTAAATTGCAGTTGGAAATTGGGGAAAATACCCTTATTCTAAAATACTGTTTTAAAAAAGAGAGTGGTAGGTGGCTCAAACAAAGTTGAGAAGTTGAATGTTTCTACCCAACAGTTTAACTCACGTTTCCTACAAAATAGGACCATTCCCGGGGCAGAAGAACTGTGGTTCTCTGCATAGTTCCAAGTTAGGACAATAGAAGTGCACACTGTTTATGTTATTGATTTGTAAGTGCCACTGTAAGCTGTCAGAGTAGGACTGTTTTTAATTAACTTTAGCAAATGTTCCCAGAAGGTTGGACACACCAAATAAATTCAATAAACAATAAACTCTAATTTAGCACCTTTCATCCAAAAAGCTCCAAGCACTCTATAAATATAAAGTCATTATAGTACTCAACAACTTGATAAAATAGGCAGAAAACAAATATTGCTCTTACTTAACAGGGAAGGTTAGAAGAAGAAAACCAATCTATATGCTTTCACATCCATTTTTCTAGGCTTAGAAATGCACAACCATTTTCATCCTTTCTCTTTCTTCAAATAGAGTCCTTAACAAATGCCACCTTATTAGGTACTTAATACGTTGTTTATAATTATACAAAAAGAACCCAGAGTGGTTAGTAATCAATCTCTGCCTTAACAGTCAAGACAAAACTGAAACAGAGGCATAATTAAATCACACTGTTGGTTCCAGCTTTATGCAAATGTACCTTTCTGATATCAGCACTATGTCACTAGGTACTAAAAGAGAGCCACCAGGGTGCAAAATCTTCAGATACAAATTGTGCTTTCATTTTCTCTGCATGCTTAATAGAAACTCAACGAAAACACATGAAATTAGTTTTATGGATGAGTTTCTAATGCCTGTCCTGACTTGACTTAGGATTCCACAAAAGCCAGATTTCTTATAAGATCCTCCCATCTTCTCCAAAGAGCCAGGGGAGAAAGTAAAGGCTTAAAACTTGTGTAGAGAAATTTGGGCAAGTGCAACAATAGACTACATTTCCACCAGATGTGATTGGAAAATTCCCATATGTATAAACTGTAGTCAAAACCTATAGCGACTGTTAAAATTTTAAAAATTATTACAGTAAAAGACACGTTGCCATTACTCCTCCCTCAAAATATTCGCTTCACATGGAACACACTTATCCTGTCATTCTTGTCACTTTTGGAAGCAGTACTGGAAGACCTTTTTGTGAGTGTCTGAGGGGGCAATCGAAAACACAGTAATGCTCCTGCCCAGTTCCATCTAATGGAAGTAAAAATTTACAAAAACATTACAGTGTATCCTCATCTACCTTACTCAGTGTATCTGGCACTGCAGGACTTCTGATTGTTTCCAAAGTCAAAAATGACCACGAAAGATACATGTTCTGAATTTATTTAGGACATTGAGGCAGCCACAACAGTGCAACTGAAGACACTCATGAAAGTTGATATCTAGAACTGCTACAGAAAGGGGCAAGAATGATGGCATGAATGTGTTTAAAGAGAGGGGAGTCTTTTAAGGAAGATATGTCTTTTACTGTAATAATTTCTTTTAAATAGTCACCATATATTTTGATCATCGTAACAGCCAGGAAGTTGTCAAAGACTGCAAAACCATGTCCAAAACTCAGAGGTCCCTTTGATAAGAATTTCTGTGGTCAGCTAGGATAGCTTGAGAACTGACAAGAATAATGGCAAAGTCTACACAATGAATATGCTTAATTAAGCACACGCACATTAATAATATCCCTTCTCAAGAACAAAAATGAAACTATTATTGGAAAATAACCTGTTATTTGAAAGCTGGTAAAAATAGAGAACAAATGAAGGGTTTGTTCAGGGCAAAAAATGAAGCCTAAAAGATTTTTATTTAAAAGATAAAATCAATTAAACTATATTGTATGTACAGAAATGACTAAAGTGATATAGTCCTTATATACTTCACATGGTGAAAAGACATTACAATATTAGTTATAATACAAATAGATACTTAAATGACCAAGTGTGTATGGAAATAACCTATTTCTATGTGGGAGACTATCTTTGTGATACAAAATAAATATGGAAAGCTTTTATTCACAGAAGTAGGTGTTCCACGTAATCAGCGAAGAACACATAATATAGTTAGGATGTCACTATTTGTACTTGTTAATAAACTAACAGACTTAGGTAGTGATCTTCAATGGTTGATAATGTAAAAAACTAAGAAATAAATACTATTTGACTCTCGGTAAAAGACTGATGACATTCAAGAGGCTGTCTTGCCAAAAACCTGAATCTGTTTAAACCTATAACTCCAGCCACCCACCAACTTAGAGAAACCAGAGGGCCAAGGGACAGTTTGCCTCGCGGGGATGCAATATGCAAAATCGAGGCCAGGAAATTTGTCTAGACAAATAAATAAGTTTCTTCAACAAGTAAGTTATAAGGGATAAGAAAGGAGAATGTAAGTAAACCTAAGGCCGGGAATTTAGCTCAGTGGTTCTGCTGCCTGCCTCACAGGTGCAAGACCCTGAGTTCAATTCCTGCTACACCCCCCACCAAAAAAGAAAGAAATATAAGTAAATCTATATAGATCTAAAAACAGTTTAAAAATATACCAACAAATTGCAATAGATGCCCTTCATTTTAAAAAGAGCTAGCTACTAAAATTTTTGAAAGAATTCCCACTTTGAACACAGACTTAAATTTTGTTGTTGTTATTGTTGTTGTTGGTACGGTGGGTGGAGGGATTGAACTCAGGTCCTTGAGCTTGCGAGGCAGGCAGCGGAACCACTGAGCTCAATCCCCGGCCTCAGACTTAAATATTTGATGATGATAGAGAAATACGACATTTAAAAAAGTGATACAGTAGTTCCTTGGTTAAGTGAAAAAAGTTATTATCTTTTAAAGAAATATGCTGATAATTGATGAATAAAACTATATGATGGTGTGTTCTAGAAATGATTCTGGGACAACTGGATAGTCACATGCAAAAAACCTGTGAGGTCAAACTATTACTTCACACCTTAAACAAAAAAATTAACTCAAAATGGATTAAAACTCTAAATATAAAAGTGAAAACTATAAACTCTTAGAAGGAAACAGGGGTAAATCTTTGTGGCCTGAATTTTAGCAATGTTTTCTTAACTATAGCAACAAAAACACTAGTGACATAAGAAAAACAAACTGGATTTCCTTAAATTAGATCTTTTGTGCTTTATTCTATTGATAAAGGGAAAAGACAACCCATAGAATATTTAAAAATTTATAAATCTTATATGATAAAGGTCTAGTATTCAGAGCATATAAAGACTTTTTATAACTCAACAATAAAAAGGCAAGTAATTTGCATTAAAAATAGGCAGGCTTGAGTAGACACGTCTCTAGAAATGACAAACAAATGACTTAACAGCACATGAAAAGATGTTCAACATGTTTAGTCATTAGGAAATCACAAATCAAAACCACAATGAGATGCCACTTTACAACGACAAGACGACTATCCTTTTGAAAATGCAGAGAAGTTGGAACTCTCAATGGCAACGTAAAGTGACGTAGTCAGGGTGGCAATTAGCTTGTGAGTTCCTCAGTAAGTTCCACATAGGATCAATGTAGGACCCAATAATTTAGCTTCTAGTTTGATACTCAAATAACCAAAAACAGATGTTCAAATGAAAATCTGTATGTGAATGTTCAAAGCAACACTATTCATAAAAGACAAAGGTGGAAATACGCCAACTATCAACAGTGATATATCTGCACGATGAAATAGTGTTCAGCCATGGAAAAGAATGAAGTATGGTGTAGCATGAATGAGTCATGGAATCAAGTGAAAGAAGACAGATAAAATAGGCAATATATGATTTTATTTATATGAAATGTCCAAAATAGGCAAATCCACGGAAACAGCCCGATCATCTGGAGACTGGATAAAAAAAAATATATTTTTAATAGAATGGAGCACTACTCAGCCATAAAGAATGAGAAATTAGAGGCATTTATAGCTAAATGGATGCACATTGAGGTGATACTCATGTGAAATACACAGGACACACATGTGAATACCAAATAATTTCTCTGGAGGAAGAAACTGAAAGTGTAAATAAGGGTCAAAATGTATAATAGATAATGTGAAATAGGATGAAAAGGTCCAAAGGGGAAGGGGAAGTGGGAGGGGTGGGGAAAGGAAACAAGGGAAAGGAATTAATATGAGAAAATGAAAAAATAGAAACAAAGTCTTTGTAAATAGGGAGGAGTGGAGGGGTTGAAGGGAGGGCAGGGGAATGGGGAAAAAATAAGAATCAAGATATATTATGTAAAGGTACAAATCTCCAATGATGAATGTCATTATACTGTATACCTAAAATGTACCAATAAAATTAATTTTAAGAATAGGCAAATCCAGAGATAGAAAGCAGATTGGTGGCTTCCAGGGACTAGGGGAAGGGGAATAAGGAGTGATTGCTCAATGGGTAGAGAGTTTCTTTTGAGGGTGATAAAAAAATGCTGGAACTACATAGTGATGATGGTTGTACAACATTTTGAGTATACTAACTGCTACAGAATTATACACTTTAAAGTGGCTAAAATTTAGGTAAATGCAATATTGTAGGTATTTTGCTAGAACTTTAAAATGTTACAAGTAAGATTTATTTCAAAATAGTACTAGAAGGAGGGAATAGATGGGC